AACACTCTATTGTCTTTATTGTTCACCAATAAATTTTCTTCCGCGCGCCAGTTCAAAATTCATATTGAATTATTTTCAACTTTTTTAGGTGAAAGCCGTGAAAGCCAAATGTAAAATTTGAAAAAGAAAACAAACAAAAACCCTCTTAATACAAATTCAATTATTTATTTTCTATAAGCCCGCTTGTTTACAGAAACATTTTCACGGACGAGTACTATCCATCCGGGTATTTTCCTCGGACGGGCACTATGATAGTGTCTCTCCGCGGATGAACACTATCGCGTCACGTGATCAATTTAGACCAATAAGAATCAGAGAAAATTTAGTGGTGAACTATAAAACTCGATAGAAACACAGAACTAGCACGAGCTGTTGACGCAATGATGGCGCGAGCAAAGAGAATTTACGTTTTGATAATCAAAGTTAACAAGTTGTTTTGCTTTTTTTCGTCGCGGTGTTTTCTAAAATAAATAGAAAGCACGTTCTCCGTTTTCAATCGAGTTCTAGAAACACTCCTGAAAGTTTGGGAGAACTCGAAAAAGCTGTGGAAACACTTGCCTGCGGCTCGTGCTCCTACAGCATTTCTCGTTCTCCTAAACTTCCACTCGTGTTTCTATAACTCGATAGAAACACGGTACATGTTTTCTATTTCTAAATGCTTCATGACACACATTATACTTTACAATACACCTAGCTACAAAATACTTACGTTGTATAAGCGTGACATATGTATGTTTTCATGTGTTTAAGTGCCCAGATAACACTAACGAAAGAGCGCCAATTATTAAAGTATTGCGCTTTTTTTTATCCTGCATACAGATTGTTTGGAATTACTGGAGTCCAATGTGGAATAGACTACTGGAGAAGACTGGAAAATCATTAACTGCACAATATATAAAGGAAGCTGCTATTTGTATTTTGTTTGCTATTTGTCAGTGTAGTGAATCGCGTTGTCAGTGACAATAAAGTTTATTTCAATGATGCAAAGATGGCTCCGATTCTGACTGATTTTTGGTTAGACATATCAGTGAGTTTTATAAAGACATATACACAACAGAAAGAGCAGGCATGAAACATTTATGTTATTAACCAAGCGTAAGGGCCACACTGTGATAATATCAGCCCATAGGTCTTGAAGCCGTGACAGACGGGGCGCAGCGAGGTCCGTACAAAAGAGGTCAAGGACTGTCATTTTCACAGAAGGGTCTCGAGCGGGATTAGTTAATTAGGCATTTATTAGAGCACTGGAAATGTCGAAAAAAATTCTTACGATGATGATCACGGACTGGAAAGACAGTGTTGACTTCAAGACTGGAATTCCGAGTTGAGAGCTTACTTAAGGTTTACTACTAGTTTTATTACTAGTACGTACCAGTGTTTGGGTCCTTCAAATTTTGGACCAAAAATCACTATCATACTTCAGAACTAACCAATGAAGCGCACATATCTTTGCTTCTTCATGTTCTTCCAACTGAAGCAAGACAGACAACGAAGGCGCGCGAAAATATTTGGAGCACTAAGCAAAAAACCTTCGAGTTTCATCTTTCTCTCCCTCACTAATACAAGTAGAGCCATCTGTGCGTTTTCAATATTCTATCCGCCGCAATGAAGTCAGAAAATCTCTTAGATCGAATGAGTGTTTTTCGTTAAACCCAAATTTTAAACATGTCGCCCTACTTGATATCAGATGAAATGTGTTTGGCAGACAATGCTGAGTTACCTGGCAGAAACTCAGCGCCTTCAGCTTCGGCGACTTTAAATATATTTGCTGTAAATGCTTTGATCTAGACAACAGAGCCGTTTAGGTTTATGGCAGACCATAAAACCAATCTTGCGCTCCTTATTGTTAAATATATCAATATTGATTGGATTGTGTTTATTGGGTATGAACAAGCAGATTAATGAAATTTCGGTCAAACGGCTGTAAAAATAAGGTTTACCTACTCTGTACAATAACTCTACATTTTCGGAATATAATTTTATTCAACCAATGACCAATTTAATTCAATTTGAAAAGCAATTAAATAGATGGAGTCAAAAAACAATACAAAAGAAAACAAAATGAAATTGACAGCTGTCCTTTTCCCTCCTCCAGTCATCAGTCTTGTTCATATTAGCTGATATTAAGACAAGTGCATTTGCTTTTCCATTTGTCGATATCGTCTTAATTCAGACAATAAACTGCTTGTCCTCACTAAAGTCTGTATGTATCGAATTGTGGTCCTTTTCGACGGCAAATACCTTCTATCAGACGATCGATTTTGACTTTAAAATAATCTCAAATGCAAATATCTGCAGATTGTTAATAATTTTTAATTGTTTATGTAACGGGAAAAAGACACTCGAAAACCAAAAACAGTATCACTAACGGCGAGTTCTAGAATCCAACAGCAAAGATTCCTAAACACCGTTCTTCGCCAAAACATATCTAAAACTTACTCTTCTGTTTTTAACACTATGAGGGCATGGCAATGAGTGGATCAGAGTTGTTGGCGTCGAGATGGTCTGTTTTGAGCTGCAACATGCGGTGAGTAATGAATAATTAAATGAAAAGTCAATTTACAGAATATAAATAACATCAAATCCAGCTAGACAGATAACGTATCATCAGTTAAGTTTTTCGATGATTTCTCGATGGGCTCACTATTTACATACGTAAACACTAGTTACTCGTTTTACATGTATCATGTTCACGACTCAGAACAGATTGCTGTACACTTAAGTTACTAGATATGAAAGCCCTGAAGTGTTTCACTCGAACAATCTTGTTCTGTTGTCCTGATTATCTGTAACTTCAATTCCTCCTCCTTCCCAACGCCATCCTAAATCGAAAGGTTTTCCATCCCATGCATATCAAAATGTCTATTTAATGTTCTTGTGAGACAAAAGTGACCAAGAATGGGCCTAGAGTTGCAACAGACCGAAGATTTTGACGTCGTCCAGAATATGTTTTGTATTCATTATTCAAGTTGGTTATTTCCACAATATTTGATTTTAGTTACTGAATTCTTATGATACGTACACTGATTCAGACAGCCTGCAATGTTAGAATTAATTCTCCTTAAATTTCGCAGTTGTTTTAGTTCTGTTCTTAACCAGATAAAGAGAAGTAAATAACAAAGCTCTTCGGGCTTTTAGGCGGTGGAATACGTACAGCTTCATACATTTTCCTACTGCCATAACAGCCGGCATATTAAAGTGCCGCACGAATTAAAAATCGAGTTCCAAGTTTGGTCAACATTTACAACAATCTCTATTTCTATCAAGAATGGACTCAACTATAAAAAAGTTTTTAGCACTACTGTGCTAATCCGTTATTGATCCGGACCGATTCTTAGAATACTTTAGGATCCATTTGACGCTCATTATGTAAATACCTTTTAAGACAGCAGTAAACACATTTTCACACAGTTTCAATTCCTTCTCATGTTTTGCGATCTTCGAATCGGGGTAGATCCACTAACATATAAAGTGACACAAATTTGTGATGAATACATTCACTGCAAATAATTCACCAACGATTCAAAATACGACTGATTCAATAGAAATTTTTTCTAAGAGTTTTCATGCATTTGTTTTCAAATTATTCACAGAAGATTTTTTTATTCTTTCCACTTTTCTGCAGCTCAACAATACAGTTTGCCGTTTCTAACCAATTTCAAACGAGATCGTACCTTTGTTTGTAAAATCGCGAAGGATAAACTATCCTTCGCGATATTCAACTTGATTTATTGTATCAAAGAAGACGAACACAACTTTTCTTGTTAGATGGAATCATTTCTTCGGGGCACTGTATGCAAATATTCTGTCCACAAATAGCGTCACTAGAACGAGAAAACTCATGCACAAACCCACGCAAAAACTATGTACAAAAACGTCATGCAACAGTAGTGGGAGCATTCGACTGCTTTCACTGAGCTGAGTTGAGTTCAACTGTGAGGATAAGAATGGCTAGCCCTGGTGTTGTTTTGAGCCTGGTGTATTTGCTGTTTCTTCTCCCCTCACTAAACGCAGCCAACTCTCAGAAAAAGACATACAATGATAACAACTCTGGACTTTCCAACACCCAGTCCAAATGTCACAACGTCTATACTTCCAACAATTTTTACGTAGGACCGAACAAGAAGATCGAAACACTGCTTCTTGAAGTAAAGGAGGAGATCGGCGAGATTCGAGAGGAAATCAAAACCTTGAAAGAAAACAAAACGGGTGATGAAGGTAAGCGAGAGAACCTCTCTTGAGGTATATAACGGTGCTTGGGAAAACAACACACAATGTTTGCTTTTATCTCGCTATTTTTATGTTTTCCACCCGTAAAAACTGTACAGCTTGAGAGAAAATAACTGTTTACATTTCTTAATGTCGTTAAGGTTTAAATCCAAACAGCTAAAAAGCCTTTATCGTAAATTGAAAAATTATGAAAATGGCAACTTAACATATAATAATGATTTCTGTTAGTTTTTCGCTTGCCTTCTTTGTCTCATCCAGTACTTTTAGAAGAGTAGACATTAACGAATCTTTATTTTGCATTTTTAGTGTACACGAATTGTCTTGAAGTCTACAAGGCTGGTAAACGAATAAGCGGTGTTTATACCATCAACCCTGATAATACTGGTGCCTTTGATGTGTTTTGTGACCAAACAACAGCCGGTGGGGGGTGGACAGTGTTCCAGAAGAGACTGGATGGCTCGGTTGATTTCTACCGCGGTTGGGATGACTACAAACGAGGCTTCGGAAATCTGAACGGTGAATTTTGGCTCGGACTGGACAAGATTCATCGCCTGACAAAACAACGAAGCAGGCTTCGAGTGGATCTTGAAGACACGACTGGAAAAACAGCTTACGCCGAGTACGACTTCTTTGATGTGGCCAGTGAGAATAGTAAATACAAACTGAGTCTTGGAACATACTCTGGTATGTGTTTTGATCTATCCTTCTCCAATAGGAAGTTAAAGTTCTTTACTCATTGTGGCAAAGCAGCTTTAGGCATTCACCATTGTGTGACAGCACTATTTAACCAGCAGTAGCAAAATTTCCATTGACAAAAGTTGATCAGTCTTTCAGTTTTATATATAATTTAAATATAATTTCTTACCTACGAAAGGCTCACTTCCTACTGTTTAATGTTTCCCCGAGAGTGCCACGTCTGTTACCATTTTGTAATTTTCTCTTTTCATTTGCTTTGTAGGAACTGCCGGTGACTCTCTTTCCTGTCATCGTGGTTTAGCGTTCTCCACCAAAGATCGTGACAATGACAAGGATTCTGGCAGCTGTGCTACGATTCGTAAGGGCGCCTGGTGGTTCAAAAGCTGTCTCCACTCCGACCTGAATGGTAAATATCTCAACGGCCAACATTCTTCTACTTGGAATGGTGTGGTCTGGTATCACTGGAAAGGAAAAAACTACTCCGCTAAACGAGCTGAGATGAAAATCAAACCAGTTTTAAACTAGAACCAAGTGTACTTGTGCGGCTTTTAAATGGCATAAGTAACTTGATTCTTGAATTAAGTGAGCTTTCTATAGCCTAAGTGCTCTTGTGCCACTCTACCACTGCGTGATTTGATTATCAGATCTAAAACGATTTCTCAGTAGGTGATGGGTTTATATTACTTGTGTCCATGAACAACTCGCTTCATTGTATGACTTATCTGGAAACAATAAAAGCTGCTTTTGTTCCATCTACTAGTCTGTCATGAAATATAAAACATTCGTCTGCTTCCCAGGCATCCAATATTTATTTTTATCTGATAATCGAATGAAACTTTTAGTCGTTTCAGTTTGTTACCGGGCTATTCAATTAGATTACTCACCCTGTTTGAAAGAAAAGAAAGACAGTGATTAAACAATCAAATAGCGTCAATTTCATTAATGAGCTTAATGCTGCCGCAAGATCGAAAATGTTCTGTCGTTGTTCAAATAACATGGTGACCAGTGTTCTTCCCATATAAAAAAATGGCATAGATTTACAGGATAATTACAAGGGCTGATTACATTAAAACTTATCTCCATACTCTGTCTTGGACGTTTCCGCGTGTTAGCTTGCAGCCTGTCACAGGCTCTTAAAATCTATGATTAACTGGTCAATTGTTAACGATCAGACTTCAAAAAAAATATATTTAATATCAGTATTTTTCATTTCAGTTATATTTAAAAAATATTGTGCATAAGATATAGGGGAACGTGCATTCTTTAAATTGACAAGACCTTTCCGAAGCGAGGGCTTGGAACTAATCTTCCTTAATTGAACGCTATGACTAGTTAAACGGAGGGCCTCAATGAAATCCACTTCGAAGAAGAAACCGTTGTTAGCTTATTAAGCATCCATTACACATTGATGTCAATGATAATCTGAGCAAAGCATTGCCCTTTCTAAAGAAAGAACATATATTACGCCCATTTTTAACTGAAAGATTACAATTAGAGTAAAGCATTCACAATGTTCCCCTTGGGCTTTTTATCGTTTTTTCTTTCAGCCAGTGAAACCTTATCAGCAAATCCAGACTGAACCGAATCTTCAGTTGTTCAAAAATGAGCGAAAACGTCAGTTTACAGAACTTCCAAGTTTTTGTCGGTTTTTGAGATTTTCTAGAGGGCAGTAAAAATATACACCTCGGGGTATTATAGATAACCACGGGGTATTGAACAAGCGTACACATAGATAGCGTTTAGCTTGAACCTGATGTTAAATTAAATTTTACGAACCATAACCTCCCGCTGCGCTCTCACTTTGGTTCATATTTTGACAATGTTTTTGTTTCATATTCTGTTAATATCGTTAAGTCAGATAACTGATGAATAACGACCTCACTGTAGTTAATTTCAATGCGTCAAAATGCATTCCTATTCGACCTGGGATCGCTGTAATACGAAACTGTGTATTTTAATCCCCCAAAAATACAAAAATGTGTTTTCAAAATTTTAATGCATTCTAGTACGCACTTGACGCCTACTTGAAGAGCTCGCCCAGCTTAGATTCTATTGTTTGGTAAATGAAGCAAAAGTGAACAGGTCGAAAAGGTCAGAACATCGTGGCCGCCATATTGGATTTGGCAAAGTAGGAGACTAGAGACGATTACGCAAGCAGCAATATCGAGGGACCCACAAAAAATGCTAGGGACCCCAATTCGGCCAGACATGTGGGTCCCAGGACCCAGAGTGAAAATTCAAGCGCCATCCCTGAACGCCAAATGTAAATAACCCGGTCCAAATTAATAGACTTGTATTGTTTATTTATCATAACGGGAAATTCACTTGAAAAACAAACTTAGTATAAAATACAGGCCTTATGAGCGATGCCACAGATAGCCCGTCAATCACAATTTTCCCCAATTTTTACCATCCTGATTCCTCCCTTTTGTTTATCACGTCCAATTGATGTTTCTCTAACCAAAATAAATTCCTTTGTTTTAACGGCGATGGCAAAAAAGGGTTAAACATAGAAAATACTTTGATTCCAGAAGTATCAGCACCTAGTGTTATCGTCCAGACTAGTGTAATCTT